GCTTACTCTACTAGTTTAAATCTATAACAAGCCATAATCTAATGTACAACTACCTAAAAATCCAAATCTAATGCTTGCTGGGTTAAAACTAATTGAAATATTATCCATAGCATAATTAGATGAGTTCTATTTGCACTAATGGATGTTTATTTTCGACTACTTCGGATTGAAAATGGAAAAAGCTGATTCTTAGGAAAACTCACCATTTACACCTTTTAATTTCTAACCTTCGGTAGCTAATTGTATTTAAGATTCAAACTATACAATAACATATAAAAATTAATAATATGAAGAAAATATATAGACTGACTTTTAAAAAAAAGAAAGGAAAATAATCATGACTTAATGCAAAGTAGATTAAATTGAAGAATTAAATAATTAATGTGTTAAATTATGTTAATATTTAATTAATAATAATGAATAAAGAAGTCAAGTAAAATTAGATTAAATTGAAGCTTTAATTGAAGATGATTTTATAAATTTAGATGAAACTATTCTAAAATTTTGAAGTATATATATAATATATATATATATATATATATATATATATATATATATATATTTATATATATAAATAGTTTACAATTTAAATTTAAATTTTTTATCAAATATTTAATTTTTTAAATATTATATTATTTTTTTATTTGCTATATTTTTTTCTATTTTTGTTTCTCATCATATCTTTATATATATATATATATATATATATATATATATATATATATTTATATTTATTTTTATATTTAATTTTACTCTTGTTTGTCTCTTTTAGTAAAATATTTTTATAAATATTTTCTTTTATAATATTTTATTACTCTTAACTTTTTTATTTGTATAACAAAATCTAAAATATTTATATATTTATTTTACATTCTATTTGTTTTAAAAAAATGTTTAATTTAATTTTTATTTTTCTTAATATTTGCTATTTAATTAAACTATTTTTTATAACTTATTTCACCGTTATTTTTTATTTTTGTACATATGATTCCTTTTATTTATTTGATTAAAATTAATAGAAATTATTTTTTGTTTACCGGCTTTTTTTAAAAAACAATAATATTTGATATTTTTTATTATTTAATAAGTATTTACGCATTCCTGTTTTTTTAATATGTTTTTGTTAGTATGAATCAATATAAATCAATATATAGTAAAAAATAGTTACAATTATAACCTATTTTATTTGGAAAAATATAAGATTTATAAAATTAATATTGAATAATAAATTATTATTACATCCTTTTAAATAAATGAAAAACAGATAAATTATCAAATAGATTTTTATTACAATCTAAGTTTTATTTTATTATTTTCACATTAAACCATTTTAAAATATGAATTACTTTCTATAAATATGTATAAAACTAAAACACACAAAATTTAATTTTAATATTATTTACGCATGAAGATGGTAAAACAAACTTAATTAAATAAAAAATATTTTTTTATCATAATTTAAAAATAATTACTCTCTGTAATTAATAAATATATCAATATAATTATTTTTATTGATAAATATTTACGCACTTTTATTATTAAATAAAATAAGAATAAAATAATATAAATAATTTATTACTTTCTATATTTTTTTAAAAAAATAACTTTTTCAATCATTTATTATTTCTTACACGCTACATAAAAAAAAATATTAGATTATATATAAGATTTTAATGTATTTTTTATTATTACACACTAATTAATAGGTTATATATATAGATTTTAATATTAAAAAGTAAACGAATTACGTTCTAAATATTAATTAATAAATAATTAATCATATATACATATATAAATACTCCCTAAAAAAATAAATATAAATAGATTAAAAAAGATTTTTTTTTATTTTTTAACTTAATCCTAAAAATTAATTGTTTGTTTTTAAATAATTGTATATTTTTTTAATATTTACATCAATCTATTTAAAAAAATATATATATTAATAAAAATTATATTATATATATATTTTATTTACTTGCTTTAATAATTAAGAGATTTTTTAAATAAAAATTATTTAAAGTATTATTAAAATTACATACTTTTTATAAATACAAAATTTAAATTTTATATTCAAAAAAATATTTTATTACTGCCTAATTTAAATGATTTTTCTTATAAAACTTATAAAAATTTATATTCTTACTGCCTAAAATTAGTAAAGTAACATAAAAAAATAATAATATATTTAATTACTTTCTAAAAATAAAGTTAATCTTAAATAAGTATAAAAAATAAGCATTACACATTATGACTATAGTATTTTTAAATATATTTAATTCTAAAAATAATTAATACCTTAATTATATAAAAAAATTAAATTAATAAATATATATATATATATTATTTGCTTAATTGTTTGGTAAGCTTAAAGAATTCTTTATACGATTATTTTCAAAAAATAGTATTTTATATTTATATATTAAAATAACAAATAATATTTATTACGCAAACAGCCCACTTACTTTATTCTTATTAAACCTATAATAGATTAAATAAAGCAATATAATTTTTATATTTTTTGAATTTTTATTTTTATAAATATGTATACGCATTATATTTAATAAATGTTGATCAATAAAATGGTTAATATAATTAATGATTTCTATATTTTAAATTAAAAAAAATATATTTATATATTGTTTGTATAAATAATAAAATATTAATAACTTAAATGGCGAATTATTTCATTTTACTTATAGATTAATTTACAATTAACTTTTTTTTTTATTATTTTAACAAATCTTTATTAATATATATTTAATCAATTTTTTTAAAAAATACGTTTCTCTTTTAATATTATATGTTTTTTACAGTTTTTTAATATTTTTATAAAATAAAAAAAATATACCGCTTAATAATAATTAAAAATATTTTTACTTTAATTATATAATATTTAAATTTTAAAAAATAAAAAATAACTAATTAAATATTAAATAAATTATTGTTTAACAAAAATTAATTAAATAATAATAAAATTAAATGATGATAAAAAACAATATGTTCAAAATATTATTCTAAAAAGAAAAAAAGAAAAAATTTCCATTTTTTTTTTTTATCAAATTAAAATAAGAAAAGCAAATTATAATTAATTATATATTAAAAAAATAAAGATATCAATTAATATTATTTATAAAAAAACAATTTATATTTTAATTGTTTAGTTTAAGAATAATTATAATATATTTCTTTAAAAAATTTATATATAAAAATAAAAGATAAATTTTTTATTTTTTCTACTTTTTATTTAATTAAAAATATCATTATAATATATTTATAATATATATTTTATATTAATATGAATTATTATATTTATTTATATATTATAATAAAAAAAATCTATTTTTTTTTTCTTTAGTACATTATTTATAAAATAAATATATAATTGCGAATTTTGTTATTGTTTATTTTATTTTAAAATAATATATATATAATTCTATTTAAATCTTAGTAATAAGAAATAAAATTCAATCTAAAATTAAGATAATTTTATATATTAATTGTATTTTTTTAATATTATAATATAAATAAAATATTATAAACAATTATTTATATATTTTTTTTTATATTAATATAAATATAAATGATAATTTTCTATTTTCAATTATAAAAACTCTTTAAAATGCAAAATATAATAAAGAAAAAAATATTTAAATATAAAGAATATAAATAATAATTATATAAAAATAAAAATAAAAAATGAAATATTATATTATTTTAAATTAAAAAAATATTGAAAAAAAAAATGATAAAAATAAAATAAATATTAATTATATAAAAATAAAATAAAATTATTTAAATATAAATCTAAATAAATAATATATTATTATTTTAAATATAAAACTATTATAATATTTATTTCATTTAAAAAACTTTAAATATATATGATTTTTCTTTTTAATTTATATAAGATAATAAATAAAAGTTAATATCTATAAATATAATAAAAAAAGGATAATATTATTATATTTATAATATAAATATAGTGAAAAATAATTTAAATTAAATATAAATATAAATTATATGAAAAAATATTTACAAATGTCTTAAATTAATATTTAAAGATATTTTTTTTTAAAAAAATAAGATAAATAATTAAATTTTTAATACAAAATATAATATTAACATTTATTATATTTTATTTACCTTATTATATATTATTATTAAAACTTTATATTTAAATATTTATTAATATGATAATTATCAAAAATATCGTCAATCGATATAATAAATTAAATTAAATTAGATATTTTATAATATTTATATATAATTAATAATTTCAACAAAAAAATTTACAATACTAAAAGAATATGTTATAAAATGATTTTTAAAAAAATCTTATAAAATATTAATTTAATATTTGATAACATGGTTTCATATTTTAGAAATACTAATATAATAAAAATTATTATTATTATTATTATTATATATTATTATTATTATTATTATTATTTAAATTTTTTAACTATATTAATTTATATTATTAATTATAAACAAAATAATATATATATATATATATATATATTTATTTATATAATTATATATATATTTATTTTATTTTATTTTTGTTTTCTTTTTTTTATTTTTGTATTAACATATTTTTTTTTTTTCCTAATTTTATTATTTTTTTTAATTTATATCAAAAATATTTTTCAATAATTATATTATTTATATAAAAAAATAAATATTTTATTTGTACATATATTTATTTTTTTATAATTAAAAAATATTATAATTTTTTATTATTAAAAAATATTATATTTTTTTTTAATATATATTATTATTTATTTATAAAAATTAATTAAATTTTAAATTCTATTTATTTTTTTTTATTTTTTAAAAAATAATTAAAATAAAAAATAGAATAAAAAATTAATATTTATTTTCATTTTATATTAAATTTTTTTTTTCTTAATCATTCAATATTATAAAAGATTTATTTTTCATTACAATAGGAGGTAATTTTATTGGTTTTTACACAATTTAAGTTTTATACTTTAGCAATTTATACTTTAATTTTTCATATTTTTCGATATCTTTTTTTTATTTTTCCCTGCTTACAAACGGTTATTAATTTTAGATTCTTTTTGCTAAAGCTTAGTTATCTTTATCTATTTATTTCATTACTTTTAATTTATAATTATAATGTAGTAATTAAGGTTATTAATTAGATTATTAATACTAATAATAATTTAAAAAACATTATTTTCCATTTGAAATTTCTGCTAGTTTTTCTAATATTTATTCATTTTATGCATTTATTTTATTTTATTTTAATTTTTCTTTAAATAATATATTAGTCGATTTTGAATTCATAAAAACAATTTGTTTATCACTTAATTGGTTTACATTTACTTTTATTGGTTGCTAATATATTTATTACATTTTCTTAATATATCTTTCATAATCCATTTCTCTGTACTTTATATCTAGTGGGTTTTGTCCTATATGTTATTTTTTCATATTTTTAATTTTTATTTTTATTTTTTTATTTTTTTTAGAAAATAAAAATTAATATTTATATAACTTCTTTAATAATATAATTTTATATTTTATTATAAAATGAAAAAATAAATATTATTATTTATATATACTTTTAAAAAAATTATATTGACTGACTATATATTTATATAATTTATAATTTCATTTTTAGTTATTTTATTTTATATTAAATATTATATTTTTTATTTTATTTATTAATTTATATTAATATATATAATTATTTTAATTTATAATAATTAAATAAACTAATCATTAAATATAAAAATTAAAAAAAATAATGAATATTTAAATAAATTTTATATACATTTATATTGTTATAAATTCCTTAATTTTAATTATTATTTATATGAATTTTAAAGAAAAAAATATATTTATTACATACTATAATTTATTTTATATAAAAAAACATAGCATAAACTATAATTAATATATATTAAATAAATACTAATGTAAAACTGCAAAATTATCCAATAAATATAATTTCCCTATAAAAAGCATGATTAGATTCTTAAATTGTTAATATTTTTAATTTATATATTAGATATTTGTATTTAATCTCTAATAGTAGTAACAAATTAGTAAATTTAAATTTTTTAACCTTTTTATTTATATATAAAATTAGGTAAAATTTAAAACTTAAAATATACTTTTCTGTAAACTTAAGTATATAATTTCAAATAACTAATTAAATATATATAAACAAACCCATTATTATATTAATTAAATATAATTACTATATTTATTGTATATAATAATTGATTTTATTTACATTTTAAAGTTATTATTTTGCCATGAATTTAATACTTTAAAATTATAGAATATAAAGATTATAAAAATAATAATTTAATTCTCTAAGTTTTAATTGTAAAATATTATAATGAAAAATCTTTATTTAGTTATATAAAATATCAAAAATTCTTATATATAAACTTATTTAAAATTAATTAAAAAACCATTAAAAGTTTAAGAAAAAATAAAAAGCATATTTTGTTTAATATGCTTTTTATTTTTTAAATAAAATATATTTTATTTAATTAATTAAAATTATTTTAACAAAAAAATTATAAATCATGAACGAAAGCTATTAATAATTAAAAGAAACTTCAAAAAATCTAATAAAAGATTAAAATTACGATCAAGCTTTATCAAATTATCAAAATATATTAAAAGATTTACATTTATAATAAAAATAAGAGCAATCTATTATAAATTTAAACGTTGCCATTTGTTATTTTTACAAGTAAAATTATTAAGAATGCTTAAAATATATTGAAAATTCAATAAAATTAAATCCTGAATATAAAAAAGCACATTATAGGAAAATTTAATGCTTAATATAGTAAAAAGAATATATAGAAGCTATTTAATATACAAAATAAATATTGAAGATTTTTAATGATTAATGTTTTTAAAATTTAATTGTAAAAAAAAATAAAAAAAATAAAAAAAAAATTTTTTTAAATTAATAAAAAAAGATTTAAATAATAGAAAAAATTGAATAAGAAAAAATAAAAAATATTGATTTTAAATATTAAATAGAGATTTTAAAATAAATATAAAATGAAGAATAAGATAAAATCTTTTATTAGACTTTACTTTCTTTTATCATTTAGAATAATTTTTAATAAAAAGTCCTTTCTTAAGGTTCTTTTTTTGAATGTTTTTTAGAAAATATTTCATTTGAATAAAAATAAAGCCCTAATTTGTTAAAAACTCTTTATTTAATAATTTCTAATATCTATGAGAATAAAAAAAGTTATTTTTTAAATCAAAAAATACAAAAAGAAATTGAAAAAATATTTTCTTTTTTATTAAAAAATAAATAAAAAAATAATGAAAAAATAGAAGATTGCTTTAAAATTTTATAATTTTCAAATTTATAATTACATTCAGAACAATTATTATAATTAATAATAAATAATTTCGAAAAAATAATAAATACTATAATAAACAATCTCTTATTTTTAATAAATAATAACTACTAAAATTCAAATAAACAAAATAATTAAGAAAATCATCAAAAATAAAAAACTTCAGAGAATATAAACGAAAAAACACTAGAAAATATAAACTAAAAAACACCAGAAAATATAAACTAAAAAACTCCAGAAAATATAAACGAAAAAACACTAGAAAATATAAACTAAAAAACACCAGAAAATATAAACTAAAAAACTCCAGAAAATATAAACGAAAAAACACCAAAAAAAACATAAGAAAGACTATAGGAAAACCTCCATGAAATAATAATAAAAATAAGCCAACAAATAAAAAAAGACTTAAAGGATGAAAAAAAAAACAATTAATATAGACTATATTTAACTACTAATATAAGCTAAATGAAAAATACTACATAAACGTAAATAGATTTTACCAAAAAGACATATATAAAAAAAAGATCTTATTTCTGTATATGAAATGTTAATTTCTTAGTTTTAATTTTGCTCTAAACTTATTATAGAAGCCGAAATTCATAATTTTTACTAAATACATATCTAAAAAACCTAAAGATATTATTATAATTGATTATATATTGAAAATTTTCAGTCTTTTATTAAAAGAGGAAACTTTTATGCAAAAAATTTAAAAAATAATGATTTTTTGCCTCTTTTTTCTTAAGAAATTTTACTTTTTCTTAAATAGAATTCCGAACAAATCGAGTTTGTGATAAAATATGCTTTATTATTATTAAAACTAAATAAAAATAAGCCTATATAGGAACTTCTTTTACTCCTGGAACATTTTTCATTAAAAAAAATAATTACATTTATTCAAAAAAATGGTCTATTTGATTAGTCTGTAAGTGAGTTTGTACTTTTTATGTGTTCATTTGATTAATTTAAGGTCGAATTAATAAATAGCATTGATTTTCTGGAAAGTTTTTTGAGTTTTTGTTAAAGTTCGTGCCAATTTGAAGACATAAAAAACTCTATTTTAATTTTTAGTGCACTTTGTTTAGATTAATTAGGGGATTTTCATGAGAAACAAAAAGAGAAATTCGAACTGGACAATTCAAAGGCAAAACAAATAAAAGAATTTTAAAACTAATTTCGAAAAGAAGACATACAACTATCTAAAAGTGTCTATTTATACAACAAATAATTTATTAAAACTAAAAAAGTTTCCGAAATTTTCTCGAAAAAAATAAACCTCTAAAATTTCCTTGAATTTTCAACTGAAAAGTATTTCCTCTAAATAAAAGCCAGTAATTAACTCCAAGAAAGCCTAGCAAATATACTCTATTTTCTAGTATAAAACACCAATTTTTTCTCTAAAAAGCTCATTTTAAATGCCTCTCAAATAATAAACTTCCCTAACCAATAAATAAGTCTAATAAATAAATATGCAACCTATATAGGCAAGAATCTTAAAGAAATTAACCCATAAATATTCCAATATTAAGAAATAAACAATATAATCGAAAGTCTATTTATTTCCTGTTCCTATTCTAAACATGAACTAGTTTAATTTGAAATTTTATTAAGTTTAATTCAATTTACATCTCTAGGCGAATAAATCAATACTAAGTACTTTTCAGATAATAAATATATTAATATTATATAAAATGTACTCTTAGAAGACTCTAATATGTATTTGGTACATGCAGGCTTTTAAGTTTTAAATAATTTATGTCTAGGATAAGGTTTAATGGAAAAAATAGGTAATATGAATACTTTAATATAGGTCATTTTTGCACATTTTAATGGGTTATTAGAAAAAATAAAAAACCAAATTTAAAAAGGAAGTAATAGATTTGATGAACCGACGAAGATTTTAAATAGTCTATATGGGATTTTGGGTCTTTGTGTATATGGAAACTCTTTGTTTAAAAATAAAGTTATTGAAAAATGGGAAAGGGAAGATGATTTGGCAGATTTTAAAGTAGTTTTGGATAAAATTAGGGATGAAGAGAGATTAGATTTGACTTATAAATATTGTTTTTTAAAAGAAAATTTGACATAAAATGATTTTGAATGGAAAAAATAAATTAAAATATTAATATAAGGAGATATAGAAAGTAGAAAATAAAATATATAAGAAGATTAAAAAATTAAATATTTAAAATTTTTATTATTTTGACATTTTAAATATTTTATTGTACAATAAAAAAAATATAAAAATGATAAATATTGATTTATAAGAAAATAATAAAAAAAATTAAAAATTAAAAAATATAAATAAACTAAAAATAAAAACTAAGAAAAAGAATAAATATTTGATTATGTAAATAGTATAATAATAATAGAAATAAAGTTTGTAAAATAATAAAAGATTATATATAGATAAATATATATATATATATATAAATATATATATATTTAATATTTTATATTTAAATAAAATATTTTCTATATTTTCAATCATATTTTACATATTTATTTTAAATATTTTAATCATCTTCTTCCAAAAAAAAGTCATCATCTTATCCAAAAGATATTTCTTATATTTCGTCTTTTATATATTGATTTTCTACATTTGTTTCAGGTAACCATTAGAAATGGAAAAGAGCTACTATATTTAAAAAAACTATAGGAACTATTAATACAAAATCATTCATTTGTGTAATACTCATAAATTATATCATAATTAAACCTTTTATAATTATTTAATATTTTAAGATAATATTATATTTTTTTGTACCTAATTAAGCAAATGAAAATATCATACCTAAAGTCATACTTCTTACTACCGTAGGAAATAACTCAGCAAAATAAACAAAAGTTACATTTCTAAAATAAGAAACAAATAATCTTGATAACTAAAAAATTAAAATATATATATTTTATGTATTATTTACTTAAATTAAAATCATAGAAAATATAATTGGAAAAGTTTAATCATTATCTATATTTATTTAATATAAGTTAGAAAAAATTTAAGAAGTAATAATAAAAAGTACACTTAAAATACAAGTTATTTAAAGTTAGATTTTTCTTTTATATAAATTAATAAAGAATACTATTTTTAAATAACATATACATTAATATATATATATATATATATATATATATATATATATATATATATATATATATATATATATACATGTAAATATTCCTGCTATCAAATCTGCTAAAGTCAAATAAAATAATTATAAATATATATTCTATTTATCAATTCTATGAATTGTAATTTCACTTGCTTTATACATCATTTCTCCACAAAAGAAAATAATTAATCCTCCGAATAAAGAAACTCGAATAGATTAGAATCTAAAAATATCTTAATATACAAATTATCTATATTTAGCTTCTTCTGACCATACACTTCTTTCTAAATCTATATTTAGTAATTATTTCTCATTTATTGAAGCTATATAATTTAACATTCTCAAAGCTTTTATTTTTGATTTTGTATAATAATATCTATAATATAAAATATATCAATATATATATGATTTATAAAAAAGTAAAAAACCTTGGAGATTCTTTACATTATTCTATTAAAATATTAAGTAAAATAGCAGGAATAACTGCACTGATAAAAACTAATTATCTCCATTCTTCTATTACAAAAGGAAAAAAAGAAAAAATTAATTAACCTAAACTAAATCCAATATTTAGTCCAACTTATGATAAAACTCTTACTTTTCCAGCTATTTAATATAACTTGTATACAAATGTATTTAAATATATATAAATATATATAATACTTGATTATTCATTTATAAGCGATAATTAAATAATTAATATTGAATAAGCTCCAAAAGAAGTTATAATATACCCAGAAATAACTAAAAATAGTACTTTAGTTAAGTAAAGAATAATTGTTCCAAAAGTAAATATTTTCCAGGCTAATTTAAGCCCATGTTTTCGACCATAATTATCACTTAAATAGCCAAAAATAATATAGGAGAAAATGGCTGTCAAAGGACCTAAAAAAACGAAAATGTTTCTCAAATAATCCTAATCGCAATATAGGGAAAATTCCATAGAAATAGATTTAAATTAATTTGGTTTTAAAATATCAGAAATGTTATTTTTTAATACTATACATAGATCTTTTTCTTTAACATTATATTCAATTAATTATGGCTTTTAAAAAAGGAAAGATTGGCTTGCTATAAACCAGCCTATGACAAACCATTATATACAAAAGCATACAAAAGAACGGATTTAATACCAATCTTATGTACCTACTTTTTCTAAAAATTATTCAAAAGAAAATTTTTCGGGTTTTTCTTTGGAAGAAACAGATGATAGATTATTAGATTTGCGAAAATTATTATTATGATTATTATTGATAGTTTAACTTTAATTTAACATTAATTAATTTATTGATGATAAACAACGGTCTGTTAAGCTTTTTCTCTAATAATTTATTGCCTAATATATATTATCTTCATCTTCGTATTAATTTTATAGAAAAATCTATTTAATATTTTAATCATTCATTATATTTTTATTTATAAATAAAAAAAAGAGAGAAAAAAAAAAAAAAAATTAATTAATTTTTAGAAATAAATATATAGATTTTTTTATTATATATTTATTGAAATTATATATATATTTATTTATTTTATTTTTATTTTTTTCATAGAACTTTTTTTAATAATATCATAGTAGACTTATCATCTATTAGTCTTTTATGAGGAATAAGATGTACAGTTTTTTTAATTTATTAAAAAAGAATAAAAATTTTCTAATAAATATAAAAATAAGCAATAAAGAATATTAGAACATAAAAAAGACCTTGAATAATATATACTTAGAGTATTTTATATTTATATTAAGATATTAAAGAAACACATTCATTTTTAAACTAAAGGTCTATCTTTTCAAAAATAATTAAAATTAGTAATTATAATATAATTTAATCTTCGAATTCTTATTTATTTATATATTCTTATATTTAAATATTAGACCATTGTTCTATTTGAGTTTAAGAAAATAATAAAAAACACTACTAAAAGTATTTATTAACCCTTAGTTCATTCGTTTTATTAAATAACATATATTTATTTGATTCTAATCAGAAAAATATTAATCTTAACATAAATTTCCCTAAATAGTTTATTAAATATATTTTCTAAAATCTTCTGAAAGTTCTTCCTTTAAAGGGATTTTAAGAAATTCTTGCATAAAGTATTAATTTGTTTTCTAAATAGAAGTTCTTTTAATATTCTTTATATATTCTAAATAATCATATTCCAAAATATTTACATTCGAAATCTTAGAAAATATTAAAGTATTCTAGCAACCTAATACTATAGAAAAATTATAATAATTATCCAAAAAGTTAATATATTAATTTATTTTATATTCATTCTTATATAGAAATTATATGATAGTTTAATAACCCTATGTAAATAAGAATATTAATATATATATATATATAAATATATATATATATATATATATATATATAATTTTTTTATATTTTTTATATTTAATTTACATTCACAAATATAAAAAAACTGTAAATTAAGAGTACAAAGAATCTAAAAATATGAGAAAAAACTGAAATATTTTAATAAGAAATTCTATCAACTAAATAATTACTTTCTTTCAAATTAAAACCGTGTATTTTTTTTTTTTTTGAAAAATGATCTTTATTAAATTCTATTTCTACATTTTATGCATTTTCATACACATAAAATTTCACAAAATATCTATCGTCAGTCTATTATAGTGCCTAAATTATTTAATAACTAGAATTTATTTATTGTTCGGCTTCTTTTTAAGTAATTTTAGCCACTGTAAATAATATTTTCTGCACTAAAATTTTAAACTTCACCAAAGGATATATCAAAATCAATAAATTCACCAAAATTATAACTAAAGATAAAACAAAAGTATATAAATTAACATTTTATAGTTTTTTTTAATTAAATTCTATATTTTATAAAATATTCTCGTTTATAAAAATGACTTTTTTCTAATTAAAAAATTCAAAATTTTTCAAAAAAAATTAATTCTAATTAACATTCAAAATCACCAAAAAAAAAATTCATAAAAATTCAAATTCTAAAAAACGTCTTTTTTTTAATAATAAATATACACATTTTACCATAAATCATTTATATAGTATTAAAAATCATACTAAATTCTCATTTATACAACTTCATGTATTTAATTATTTATTTGTTTTACCGAAATTTCTTTAATTTCATCAAAAAAGGCCTATTTTTACTCATTTTTATGAAAAAAGTACATTATTTTGACATAAGAACATGTTAAACTTTCCCTTAAATTCAAAAATGAAAGCAGTTCTTATAAAACATTAAAATTTTAACTCAAAATAACTAAAATAACTATACAAATAATCACAAAAAACATAATTTAAACTAAAAGATTTACATATAAAATCTTCATAAATAAATGCACTTTTTTCTAGTCTATAGATTTAAATATTTAGTTTGAAAAGTCAATACTTTATTTAGAAGATGTTATAATATGTTATTGTTCTTCGTTTTTTTATGATTTTTAAGTCTTATATTCCAAAAAAGATTATTGAAAAAAACTTTAATTTGTTTTATTTGTTTATTATTTCGAATTATGGGAAGATTTATAAGAATTTTCGTCTTTATTATCTAAATTTTCAAAATCTCTTTACTTATGTAATACCTATTTAAGGATAAAATCAAGTGGATTTTGATTTGATATGTTCATAGGCTTTTTTAAGAAAATCTAGGAGGAAAATTATTCTTATAAAGGTGTATTTTTTTCCATCTTATGGTAAGTTTCATTAAAAGATTCTTATAAATTAAAGAAATTTCTCTAAGAAGATAAATAATAATTATTCGGTGTATTTTCAAGGTTATTTTATATTTAATTTCTAAAAGATTGATGAGTATTGTTTGTTTGTGTATCACATATTTTATGAAAAACAGTATATATATTTTTTAATTAAGTTTAAGCTTTCATAAATGTAAAAGGAGTTATATTTGATATATCAATTATATAATAGAAAAACATAATATTATTAGGTAAATCGAATTATTCTTTTATAATATTTATTGTTATATTATATATAAAAACATCATTCTGGGAGTAAAATTAGCAATTATATTTTAAAAATTAATCTATTATATAATCATCAATTTAATTATTCTATTTCTAGAAATATTAAAATTATTAAATTAATAATGAAACATCTATGTATATGAAAATAGATATTTAAATATATATTAATAATATATATATATATATATATATATATATATATATATTTATATTTATATATTTTTTTCTATATACTTGACGGTATTATTAGTTTAATATTATGAAATATACCCTTATTTTTATTATTAATAATTATATCTTTTAATTAAGGAATAAACAATTAAAAAGGCGAATTTTATATATATTCTAGTTTAACATCAGGATCAATTTATTAAAAAAAATTATAATAATTTCTACAAACTCCTTCCATTCCAAAATTTTAATTTATAAAAAAAAAAGCAGACTCAGTTTTCAATTTAAGAATAAGAGATGAAAATGCAAAATCATCTTAAATTTAAAAAAAATAATTTATAAAAAATTTTATTGGAATTAAAAAGTTTTCCTTATCTTTACCAACTGAAATTCTATATTTTCTTAATATTTTACTTTTTCCTTCCAAAACTAGTCTTTAAACAATATCGTCGTGATTTTTTCCTATAATATAAGGCATTAAACAAACAACATTTTTAACTAGTGAATCAAAAGACACTTTTTTATACCCGAAAAATTCAGGAGTTCTTTCAGAGTATTTTATTATTTTTCCTCTCTAACTTCTAAAAGATGCTATAATTGATATTACGTTTCCATTTAAAATTGTTAATGAATGAATCATGTTTATATCTAATAGGTAACTTCTGCTATTTATTTCATTTATTATTTTCTCTATTTTATAGGATTTTAAGTAGTCATTAAGAATAAAATATCTTAATAAGGATATAAATTTCAAATAGTATATATTTTCTGGTTATTTTTATAGGTATTTATATATTTCATATTCGATTTTTTCGCAATTCTTAATTAAGCTTAACATATCATTTTTTAAAACATCAAGATTATAATAACCTTAGATAAGTTTTTATAAATGAAAGGTTTTTTGTTTAAATAAATTAATTAAATTTTATTTAAAATGAATCTTTTAAAATTCACTATGTACAAAATTATCAAAATATTTTAATTAAAAATCTTATTAATTGTACTTTAAATTTAAATGAATATTTAAAATTCCTTTATTAATATAATATTAAAAATATAAATAAATAAATATATATATATATATATATATTATATATATATATCTTTAGATTACATGTATTTTTATTTTATTTTGGTAAAAATAAAATTAGTTAGTGAAAATTCAATGATTAAATTAAAAAAAGACAATTTTTTTTAAATTGTTTCATTTAAAATAAAGATCTGTAATAATTTTATTTAGTTAACATTAAAAAATATACATATTTTGTTTAAATTTCATAGATATTATTATTTTTATTACTTAATATTTAATATTTTATATTATTATTTAAATTATAATCAATAAAATCTTATATCCATTTATTGAATATTTCAACATTTTCTTAATATAGAATTTCATAAAAATATATTTTTTTGCATATACAGTTTATATCTCGGCAATATTTTTGGTGATCCTGTAAAATACCTCCTAATAATGCTTTACTTTTTTAACAATTACCCATTTTATCACTTAAAAAAATTATGTTTTTTATATATTCTTCTATATTTTTTGGTTTATTATAATTTTGTTTTACATTAATATATCTAATTTTATTCATTTTCAATTCAAAACTGGTATTTATACTTCCAATTGTAAATGAAATTCCAACTAAACATATAAAAACGTAATCTTTTTCATTAAAAAAATCACTAAAAAAATCAAAAACTACTAAAAAAAATGCTGAAAATAGCACCATACTATATTATTTAGCCAAAAAACTATCATAAAAAGGAAAAAGGATAAGCAATTCTAACAAATAATAAGCAAAAATAGCAAAAAGAATAAAAAAAAACACATATTTTTCACTTAATCTAACATAAAAAAACTGTATTAAAAATATTAATAAATACTCAATTAATTTTCTATAAGAAAAAGCAGTTTTCAGTCGAAAAGAAGGTATTAGCTCTAAAGAATTATTTATAAAAAAGACCAAAATAAAGTTAAAAACAAAAAAAATCCAATTAAAAGCATAAAAAATATAAATTAAATAAAAATCTAAATTAAAATTCATATAATTTTTTCCAAAACACTAAAAAAAAGTAAATAATTATACTATTTTTTACTAAAAATAAACCCATTTATAAATATTAATATAAAGTCTAACTATATATAATTAAAAAAGATGACTTTTTTTATTTTTTAAAGGCTATTATGTACATTTAAAGGCTAAAAAAAAAAACAAAAACTAAATAAAATATCATAAAATAATAAAATTATTTAATAAAAAATCGGAATAAAAACTATTTCTTACTCTAAATATTTCAAAAATACATTTAATTGAGTTTAAGTCAATATGTTATACCATTTTTATAAAAAATAGTCCTCAATATGTCTCTACTTAATATTTTGGTATTAAAGTTATGTAGTATATATTATTAGAAAGTAATATATTATTAAGAATAATTAAAATAGAGTTTCTTTGTCCTTTTTTTGATGGTCTTATTCCTATATATAGTAATATGTATTAGAAAATATTTCTGCAAGTTTATATTTATTCTTAAAGTAATATTTATACATAATTAAATGGTTTTAATTTTCTTTTATAGTGTTAATTAATATGTTATGTATTAACTTTTTTTTATAAAAAAAAATATTTAATTTTTGTATGTATATAAAGAAATATACATTTAAATATAATTTATAAATATTAAATATTAATTAATACTTTTAAATATAATTTTTTTAAAAATTTTAAATAAAAAAAATATTTTTAAAGAATAATAATTAGGTAAAAAATTATATATGTAAATATATATTTATTTACACTAAAAATAAAATTATTTTAATTTATTAATTTTATATATTTTAAAGTATTATAAAATATAGAGATTAAATTTAAAATATAACAAAAAAATAATAATATTTTTAAATAAAATATAATATAGTAAAATTACTTTTTAATATAAAAATAATAAAATTGGTAAAATTTTTTAAAATAATACTTATTTATAAATATATATATATATATTCATGAAAATAAAAAGAATTTAAATACTTCACAATTTATAAAAAATATTAAAATAAAAAAAAAATATTATAATTTTTTTTTTTAATTATAATATATATATATATAATATATATTATATTTATATATATATTTTTATTTTTTAATATATTTTAATATATGTTTATTTATTTTTATACATAATTTTTGAATTTATATATTCTAATGTGTTATTACATATATATGTATATATACATCTAAACAAATTCTTATCAATAATTCATTTATTTTCAATTTTTTTTTTAAAAATATATATTATATTAAATATAACTTTTACTTTTTTTTAATATACATTTTATAAAATAGATTTATATATATATATTTATATTATAGATATTATATTATATATTTTTATTTTTTTATATATATATATTTTTAAAATATTCAATAAGCCGATATTTTATTCCAAAATTTATTTTATTAATTAATTTTTTTCTTATTATTATTTTTAGTTTTTTTTTTCATTCCAAATTCATCTTTATTATATCTTATTTTTTTTCCAAACTCATCATATTTTTCTATTTTTCTTTCCTATATAAACTCCTTAATTAAATTGTTTTCACTTTCCATTTCTTGTACATATTTATCTTAAGATTCAATTATAGCCCTATCTATTTCCATTGCAACTATTCCTTTACTAATTTTCCCTTAAATTAATCCTTTTTAATATTTCTCTTTTATTTTATTTTGTACAATATCCGGAATAATTGTCATTAATTCATTTTAGAAATCTTCAATTTTCTAATTGAATTTACTAATAAAAAACTTAATTTTCGGTCCATATTTCATCCCTAATTACCTGCACATTTTTCCTGATAAATATCCTGCAAATTAGTTTAAATTTTTATTAATTTTTTTCATCTTTTCTTCCCTTAATTTATTTTTTTCTTCCTCCATTTTAATTTTCAATATACTCTTCTCATATTTCAAAAATACAATATCCTCTTCACTCTTTATTTAATTTTACAACTCCCAGAACACATAAACTACTGTCAAAGCGTTATTTGCACAAACATTTTTAATTAAAATCTCTTCATTTACCAATAAACTATCCATATTTATCTTACTAATTGAAAATTCGCTAATTAAAAAATTCTTCATATTCCCCAAAGTCCTTTTCCTATGTATTTCCCACATTTAATCTTCCATGTTATCTTCATAGACTTCATTTAATTATTTGGAAATTACCTCTTCGTTTTCCAAATCTGGTAAATCCTTAAAAACTTTATGTTTTTTCACTTTTTATCCTCCATTTAATTTTTAATTATCTGAAAAGTCTATATTTTCCTACATTTTTTTCTCATGTAACTCTCTCTAATGTTTTTTGAAAATTTCCTTTCTTTATTTTAATTTTAATTTCCGATTAAATTCCTAGTTTTCTTCCTAAAACTTCTTCTAAGCGAATAAATCTTCTTTACAAATTTCCTTTAAAGTCTCTATATCTCCTTCTGACTAAAATCCCAATTTTAAAAGGGCTTTTTCTATTCTTTTTTCCTAAATAAGGAACAAGTTTCTATTTTCATCTTAAAATTCCTTTAAAATCGCCTTTTTATCCTTCTCGTTTTCACTCAAAGCCTATAATTGGCTTGTGTTTCCATCTTAAATTATCAAATCTTTGAATTTCTAGTCTTCTTTTTCCTCAATTTCTGCCGCATGCACTTTTTATGCTAAAATCATCTTTTTTTTAAGCTTTTCTTCTTTCTATTTTACCTATTCTTCTTCCACAATTTACTGAATCTTGACTAATAACATTTCTTGTTCTTTCTTTTTCAACCTATTAGGGTCTCCTTCTTCTATAACGTCATTAATAAGCTATTTTCTATCAATTTACCGACCTTTTTATGCCAAAGGAGACATTAAATATGCTCTCAAAGCTGCTTTTTTAGACTCTTGATCTACAATTTCTTCCTCTGATAATTTTCTATCCAACTTAACATATTCCTATAGAGGTAATTCTGTTATTTTCAGATGTTCTTTGTTTTTATTTTAATCTAAAATTTATTTAAACTAACTCAATGATTCCGCATGTTTCTACAAAATCGGATTTTGTGCAAAAACATTAAATTTTTCTAAGTCTATTTTCTCTTCTATTTTCTCTTCTTTTTTCTCCTAATTTTCATTTAAAATATTATCAACAATATCCTTTTCACTTAAACCCTTTTCAAGGCCATTTTTTACTTATTTTTCTATTTCTTTATCTAAATCATCTATAGCCTCCTCATATAGTATATTATTGAACATTTTTTAATCTCTTTAGTCTTATTTTAATAATTTCTTTATTTCATCTTAATTTGAGTCTATTTCTTATGTATTTCTTTCTATTAATAAATCCATTTAGGCTTTTTTTGTCATATATATATTCTCAGGCTTTTTTCTTTATATAATATCATATTTTAAATCTTTTTCTTATTCTTCTTCTTCTTTTTAAGGTATTTATTTGGTATTAGATTATTTTTATATGTTTTTTATTTTCCGGAAATTATATATGTTTGTTTAATAAAATGTTTATTTAAGTTTATTTATAAATGATATTTTTATTATATTTTAGAACATGTTTTTATTGGTATTTTTTTTTATTTTATTAATTTTTTTATTTTATTTTTTTGTTCGAAAAAAAAAATATATATATATACTTTTTTATATAGATATATTTTATTTAGTATGAATATACATTTTTTTCATTTTTTCATTAGTTTTTCAATAAATAATACAAATACAAAAAATATAATAAATAATTGAATTTTCATAAATTTCTTAAATAAACTATAATTTAAGATTAATTTTCATAAGTAATTGCATATTCATATTCATTAAAAACAACTTTTTTTATATATAATTAAAATATTAATTTTTATAATGCTTTTTTTTTATTTTATAAATTCAATCAAAGAAGAAAAAAAAAAAAATAAGCTATAATTAATTTATTTTATAACTTTTTTTTTTGTGAATAAAGTTTTTTAAGAATAAAAATTAGAGAAAAAAAAAAATATAAATATATATATAAATATATAATTATATATATATATATATATATATATATATATATATATATATATATTTACTATTTATTTTTTAAAATGTATTGTCATTTTTTTTTATAAGCTTACAAGCACCTTCTAATATTTTTAATATATTTTAACTTATTTTTTTATTATTTTATAATTTTCCACTACTCTATTATAAAAATAATATTTTTTTTAATATTAATAAATAAATATGTTAATGCAATTTGTTTTGCAACTAAAAATTTACTTTTATAATTTCTCCTTTAAAATCAATCACAAGAGTTCCTATTATTGATTAATCTTCCATTTATATATATTAATTATTAAGAATTTTAATAAAAATATTCTTTTATTTATAAACAAATTATATATTAAATAAAAATCTCTAAATTTTCTTATTTAATTAATATTTTTATTTGTTTCTTTATAATATTTATTAAAATAAATATAAATATATATAATATTTATTACTTTTTATTTTTAATACAATAAAAAGTTAAAATATATATATATATATATATATAAAAAAAAGTTTTTATAGTTAATTATTTTGTTTATTTGTTTTTCTTCTAAAAAATAAACAAAAATCAAATTGTATTTTTATTTAATTAAGAAGATTTAAACGAATTAATAAAATTATCTATCTCTTCATTTGATACTTCTTATATTTTTAAAGCTATGTTATTTTCTTAAATATCGACTTCTTAGAATTTAATAATATCCAGTTTAATCATTTCTTTACAAAATTCGTTTAAAGTCTTAAATAAATCTTCCGAATGATAATATTAATTTAAATCTTTTTCCAATATTTCTTATGTTTCTTTACATTTTTCTTAATCTTTTTCTTTAAAAAATTTCTCTAGATTTTACTGTATATTTTAAGTTGTTTTTTTATTTTATTATAAGTAATTTATTTTATTTTTAAATTAAATTAAATTTGTTGCCTATACTTCCTATAAATGAATATTAACTTATTTTCTTTTTAATTCTTTTATTAATTCTAGGTTCATTTTCTTCTATTACATTTAAATATTCAATAGGGATTTCTCGATTTCTCTTATTTATTTATTTATTTATAATCGTGATTATATTTTTACTTATTTTTATTCTTCTTTATCCATTTCAAAGTATTTTTTTTAATTTTCCTTTTCATATTCATTCTCTTATTTTTAGTCTACTTAATTCTCTTATTTTTACTCTCCATATAAAAATCTGTTTATATAATAATGAATATAATTATTGTAATAATACATTTTTTTTTTAATTTTTAAATTTTAAATTTTAAATATTTTTCTTAAACACTCAAAATATATTTTCTTTAATATTTTAGAAGAAATTATTAAAAATATAAAATTTTTTGTATTCTTTTTTATTTTGTCTACTCTTATTTTGAGTTTTATTTATATTTATTTTATTATAATTAATAATATGCTCTTATATTTCTCTATATATAAATAAAAAAAGTTAAATCAAAAAAAAAAACTCTATAAAAAAGATAATAAATAGCCTAAAATATGAAATTCTTTATATAAAATTTTGTTAAAAAATTTATTTATAAATAAATTATATATGAAATTATTATTTTGAAAAAATAAGTATATATATTAAATTTTAACTAATATCTAATTTGAATATATAAATATATATATATAGATATTTATAATTACCGATATATATTTAAAAAATAGCTACATATAAATAAAAGAAATATTAAAATAAATAAAATTTTATAATTTTATAAATTTACAAAAAATTAAATTTAAAAATATAGATTTATTTAAATGTAAATATGACTTAATTATAAGATAAATCAGATTAAAATTATTGTAAATAATGTACAATAAATCTTCATAATCATAAATAAATGAAAAATCAATTTAAATAGAATATAAAAAATATATGTCATAGAAAAAATATAATATCATAAATAAATATAAACTTTTTTTTAAAAAAAATATATATATTTTAAAAATATACTATTTAAAAAATCATTCTGAAAAATAATATATAATATAATAATACATAAAGGTAAAACAATAAACTAAATATATTTATTTGAAAAAACGCAAAAAATAAAAAAATAAAAATAATTTCTAAAATATTCAAAATTTATTAATTTGAAAATTTTTGAAATTAAAAGAAATTTATTTGATTATTAATCAATATAAATATTATATTAAAACTGGATATTTAAAAAAAAAAAAATATGTTTTTACTATTAAAAAAATTTGTATATAATATATATATATTAAAAAGTTCTAAAATATTAAATAAAATAATACTGTAAATGGAAAATAAATAGAATAAAATTTAATTTTATATATAAATATGCGAATCAAATGTAAATAGATTATTAATTAGGAAATAATTTAGATTATGACTTTTTAAAGAAAATATCTTCATATATAAAAAATTTATAAATATATTAAAAAAAATAAAAAATTTTAAGAAAATTAAAAATAATATTTATTATAGTAATACTATAAATAATTTTTTAATAAAGTAAATATTTATATATATATATAGATAAATTTTTATATATTTATATTTTTTTATTTTAAATTTATATATAATAATTAAATTTTTTACTTAGCTATTAATATTTGAATATTTTTACTATATTAATTATATATTACTCAATAATTTTATTTATAAACTATATTTAAAATTAGGCATATTTATAACTCATTAAATTTTATATGTTTTTATTTATTAAATAAGATATATTAGTTATTAATTAATTTTAAATTTATTTTTTGTTTTAATTAATATTAATTTAAGGATTTTTTTAATATTTATTTGATAATTATTACTAATTTATTTTGATTTACGTTTTTTTAATTTTATTTATAAAAAAGTTTTGATATTAAAGACATCAATAACATTTACAATATAATAAATTACTTTAAATTAGATATTTTTTTATATTGATTTTTATTCTTTTTATTATTTTAAAATAAAAATATACATTTATAAGATATAATATAATCTATTCTTATTTTTATATTTAAATATATATAAATTACAAAAAAAAATGTAATTTTAAATTTAAATATTTTAAAAAAATTAAACTTGCAAAAATATACTTATTAAAATATATATAAACGTGTTTAAATCATTTAGCAACAGCCTTTTCTTCTAATCTTCCGTAGAATTTAGCTTTTTCATCTTAGGTTTAGAATCTACCATGTCCTAATTTGGATGAAGTATCAATAAACTTAAGATTGATTTATTCTTTAGCAGCTCCTTTAGTGTTAGTAAGTAAACTCTTTCTAAGTACAAGAGGTCTTTTCTTGGGTCCAACGCAACATCCTTTAATCATAATGAAATCGTTTTTAACGACACCATAGTGAGGGAAACCTCCCAAAGGAGTGATTTATTTATCAGTAAGATCTCCTTATGTAGAAGCGTTATTTTTTTAATCTCCTTTTCCTACTCTGTAGACTTTTTTATTAATTTCAGTTCTGTGGTGATATCCTAATTAACCAGCTCTGGCTACTGTGAATCTAATTCTGGAAGGATGCCAAGCTCCAATACAACCTACTTTTCTGTAACCTCTGTGTGTTTTTTTTTATAAGTGTTTTACACCAAATCTTTTAACGACGCCGGCAAATCCTTTACCTTTAGTTACACCAATAACGTCAATCATTTCATTTTCTTAGAATAATTAATCGACTGTAACTTCTTTTTCGAATAAACCTTTAGCGAATTCAACCTATTATATATATTTATATAATACATTTATATATAAATATTTACTTTTTAAGCAACTGTGCCACCATTAACTTAGATTTCCAAAATGTGGTTTTTCTTTTATCTGAAATTAAGTTTGTTCATATTGGTATGGGCAATAACTCTAACTACAGTGCAGTATTTTTTGATTCTATTAATAAGGATATCTTATTCTTTTTAATTGAAATTAGTCTCGTGTTTAGTGAAGGCTTTTTTCTTGGAATTAGTCCAGTTTTTATAGAATCTTCTTTTAGTGTTCTTATCTAAAGTTTTAGTCCAGACAGTACATAAAGCTCTTAAACCTCTAGGAGTATTAATATAACCAACTAAACCTACAACAGTCATAGGAGGACATTCAATAACGGTAACGGCTTCAACTACTTCCTTCTTGTGGTTTTTAGAACCAGGTCTTTCAACATCTCTTAATATGTGGGTCATACCTGCCTTGAATCCGGTGAAGGCGGTCAAGTGGGATTTCTTGGAAGCATCATCTCTGGGAAAAGCTCTGCATCTACCTCTGTGATGTCTAGTTCTTCTTCTAGGTCTGAATCCTAAGGAACCTCTTCTGGGGGCTTCGAATTTACGATGGGACATTTTTATTTTTGATATTATTTTTTTTCTTTAATTTTTTTTTTCTTTAAAATATTTATTTATTTATATATATATGTATATTTTCTTTTTTAATTTTTTATACCTATAATAAATATATTTATTTATTTATTTATTTTGTACTTATTATATATTTTATTTTTATATTTAAAATTATATTAAGTAAATTTAAAAATAAATAATTAATATTAATTTGTTTTATTTATTTTTTATTAAAAAAATGTATAATTTATTATTTAATTATTATAAAATAAAATTAATTATAAATATATATATATATATATATATATATATATATATATATATATAAATAAATAATTAATT